TTTTTATTCCTCTCCAATTACAGGGGCTTCTGAGTGTGAGGCCAGTCTCTACGCAGAGAGGAGCCAGGCCACGGGCGCCGGTCACCTGCGCTTCCCTGGGGCGTCACAGCAGGCAGCAGGCGCTGGCCTGTGCATGGTAGTGGTGAGCAGGTCCCTGCACCGACGGCAGGCAACTAGATTAGACCCCAGTGAAAGTCGTCTGGGACCTCCATGAACTTAACGATATTTTTACTTGGGAGAACTTTCTACCCTGCTGGAACATCATGATTTTGTAGAAGCTATTAACTCTGACCGTTTAAAGACTAATTAAACCCACTGGTGGTTTCAGCCGTAGCGGCATTTTGCCCTTTATCTAATGACTAACTTCCTCACAGATGGGGGACTTTGATGGCTATTCTCAAAGCCTCGTTTAAAATCCGCATAGTGGAATAGAGCTCAACTCAAAGCCTGAACTAAACAGCTGGAAAAGCAGTTGTACCTAAATAAAACTCTGTAATTCTTTATGCTCTGGAGACCTAATCAAAGCGTAGTTATAAATACTGTTTAAGGCCAAACACATTACAACAGTCCAATAATTAGGAGGGTTATATCACAAAGCTGATGCCAATACCTCAAAATTAGGCAGTTTAGGCAGGCCAGAGCACTGCAAGATGTTTAGACCTGTCTATGGGTCAAGGCAACACTACTGTAGAAACACAGACTATGTATGATTTTTTAACTTTTACTGCTGGTTTGACCCAGTCATTCCAATGTGCAGTTCCCTTCACCTGACTCAAAGATTCTGGATGGTCAAAGGATTATTCAATTATAAACTGTATATGGGGTCTGTTACCTGCAAAAATACAGCCCATGCAGAGCCAGGACCCTCAAATACTCTGGGGAACATCAGGAAAAGTTCTGGATTTTTTTTTATCATGACAGGGAGACCCTTGAGATTAACGAGAATAGCACTAACGCACAAGCTTGAGTGACACTTTTTTATGAGCTCAGTTGCACAAAGAACTGCAGAGAACTACTTTCACATGACTATCTGACACATTTCCTTTAAACATCACCTAATTTCAAGGCTGTTATTCTAGGCATTTCAACTAACATAAAGATGCACCATCTCATTTCGTTCTGCTGTCAGAACTGATTAACATAGCAGAGCAGGGTATTTTTGTCCAAACAAGGATAACCTCCTGCCATATCCCCTCTCGTTCCCATAGCTGACAGTCACTGGGCTGACTTCATCCTTTGAACACGTGTGGTTTGAGGAGATGCTGTGCAGCATCAGAGGAGGTTTATGTTGGGAAGTAAAACGAGCACTTGGAAATCTCGCATTACGTGGTCAGTGGAAGGAAAAAGCTTTTTATCTGTATCCTTTGTCTTTCTCTAGCAAAATCCAGTGGAGGATCCCCCAGTACTTAAAAAGTATAGTCTCATAAATTTCCTGTGAAGAAAACATCTTAGACTCAGGATTTAGCTGAGTTTCATCGCTGTATTGGTAATATACCTATGAAATGACTTGCCCAGGACTGCCTTTATTCTGCATGCATTCATGTGAACAAACAGTGAAGTAGCAGGGACGTGGCAAAAGCCTTCTTACAGACCCAGCTGGTGCACCCAAAATGGTAATAAAAATGTTAATAATACAGGCTCATATATTATCTGAAGGAAGCACAGTTTCAATGATTTATAGTGTGATCTTTTTCTGAAAGAAGCCTGTGTGTCATCATGAATGAGGCTGATTACAAGAGAGTTGATACTGTTAACATAATGTTCACATACTGAGTGTTAAAGCCGCTGTGGAAAGTAAGTGGCTGGTTTGCTGGATGCTTTTTGTCATTTCTTGGCAATTTTAGATGGCAATAAAGCTGTCATTCTGATTATTTGTCCCTTTCTGTGATGGAAGCAGGTTTTTTGGAAAGGGATTGTGTGAAGGAAAGAAGGGTCAGATGCAGTGGGAAGTGATGTGCAGAAGTTGGAATTGCTGTAGCCAGAATATATCCTGTAACTCAAACTGGTCAGTTCTGACCCTGCCCTCTGATATTTTGCAACATTAATGCCAATTAAATAGCTCCAAACTGCTTTCCTAAACTTCTGTGCAAACTTCCGTCACCTTCTCGCTGTTGTTATATCCTCTCAGCCCTCTCTCATCCATTTCATTAGCTCCCAGACATTAGTGAGGAGGAGCACAGTCACTCAGCCATCTCTCTCCAACGCCTCCAAACTGCAGGTCGTGCAGTGCACCTGTAATCCGAACCCGGAGAGGCCCCTGTGCTCTGGGCAGCAGCAGAACATCTCTTTGCACATGGTTCCTCTACCTCTTCTTCCATTTTAAAGGAGTACAACTCCAGCTTTTACAGCTGTGCACCTTCAAAATACGAACTAGGCCTAGTGCAAACTGATGTGGAAGCATCTCCTTGAGAACCCCCTTCTCCTTGAGAACCCTGCTGAACACGTGTGGTTTGAGGTGATGCTGTGCAGCATCAGAGGAGGTTTATGTTGGGAAGTAAAACGAGCACTTGGAAATCTCGCATTACGTGGTCAGTGGAAGGAAAAAGCTTTTTATCTGTATCCTTTGTCTTTCTCTAGCAAAATCCAGTGGAGGATCCCCCAGTACTTAAAAAGTATAGTCTCATAAATTTCCTGTGAAGAAAACATCTTAGACTCAGGATTTAGCTGAGTTTCATCGCTGTATTGGTAATATACCTATGAAATGACTTGCCCAGGACTGCCTTTATTCTGCATGCATTCATGTGAACAAACAGTGAAGTAGCAGGGACGTGGCAAAAGCCTTCTTACAGACCCAGCTGGTGCACCCAAAATGGTAATAAAAATGTTAATAATACAGGCTCATATATTATCTGAAGGAAGCACAGTTTCAATGATTTATAGTGTGATCTTTTTCTGAAAGAAGCCTGTGTGTCATCATGAATGAGGCTGATTACAAGAGAGTTGATACTGTTAACATAATGTTCACATACTGAGTGTTAAAGCCGCTGTGGAAAGTAAGTGGCTGGTTTGCTGGATGCTTTTTGTCATTTCTTGGCAATTTTAGATGGCAATAAAGCTGTCATTCTGATTATTTGTCCCTTTCTGTGATGGAAGCAGGTTTTTTGGAAAGGGATTGTGTGAAGGAAAGAAGGGTCAGATGCAGTGGGAAGTGATGTGCAGAAGTTGGAATTGCTGTAGCCAGAATATATCCTGTAACTCAAACTGGTCAGTTCTGACCCTGCCCTCTGATATTTTGCAACATTAATGCCAATTAAATAGCTCCAAACTGCTTTCCTAAACTTCTGTGCAAACTTCCGTCACCTTCTCGCTGTTGTTATATCCTCTCAGCCCTCTCTCATCCATTTCATTAGCTCCCAGACATTAGTGAGGAGGAGCACAGTCACTCAGCCATCTCTCTCCAACGCCTCCAAACTGCAGGTCGTGCAGTGCACCTGTAATCCGAACCCGGAGAGGCCCCTGTGCTCTGGGCAGCAGCAGAACATCTCTTTGCACATGGTTCCTCTACCTCTTCTTCCATTTTAAAGGAGTACAACTCCAGCTTTTACAGCTGTGCACCTTCAAAATACGAACTAGGCCTAGTGCAAACTGATGTGGAAGCATCTCCTTGAGAACCCCCTTCTCCTTGAGAACCCCCACCTCGGAAAGGCTCCTGAGCTTTCCCACTCCCACCCAGAGCCCCCTTACAATGCTATAAAGGCCAAAACTCCCAGACACTGCTCGGTGCTCAGCAAAGCACGCAGAAAAAAAGGGGGAGCACCATGGCGGGAGTCCTGCGGCAGAAGCGCTTGTCTTCACAGGGCGATGGGACAGGCATGGGAATGAACTACAGGCTTCCCCCCAAAGGGCTCCGAGCGGCTG